ATCGCACCCTTGCTGTAAAAAAAATTGGCATCAAAGAATAAAAACGTTTTCCTACAGGCCTTTCTGAATTGAATCCAAGGAACCTGGAAGTCAAAACAAGAGAGTAGCTTCAGAACACTCAAAAGCTCACCCCTGCAAGTTCTGTTGTGGTACAGGGTGAATGAGTTCCCCTTTTTTGACGAGTCTGCAAAATTATAGAAAGGATGAGTCAAATGGAGAGAGAGAGAAATATATACATATATATATATGAATTGATCCAGGTTTCTTGTTTTTTTCATACCTTGAGGAACCAATCATTCAATTCCACTGATTTCTTTGCATACTTGAATGCAAAGAATAACAAATAATGAAGCTAGGTGCTTGGTTAGATTGAGGCAAGTTTTCAAATAGCTAGAACAATCTTTAGCTCTTTTAAGTTGTTTAGTGTTTAACCATCATGACATCAATCTTAAAACACATCCAGAAGTTGGATTTTGTGCCCTCTAGATTAATGATGTTAATTTTAGACTCTTTGTCAGTGTTAATCCTTGTAATTTATAGGATAATATAGAGTTTCTCAGTTTTATATTGTTTTTCAAATTTTACTTGATACTCTTCCAGTTCTAGATATGAGGCAAAATAAAGAACTTCATAGTTTTTTATATGAAAACTTTAAAGTTGCAAATCATTATGACTGCCATCTTCAGTCTCCTTGCCATTGGCACCAACAGTATTGACATTCTCATGGCCATCATCTTTGTCATTCGGCATGTCTTCATTGTTGCCTTTTGTAGCCTCTTGGTGGGTTGGTGTATAATCTGGCATCTCTAATTCCCAAGGACAAGCTTGCTTTATTGCCACTGGAAATTTCATTGTTGTCGGGTACATGCCTCCATCTCTCACACCATGCCTCAGGAGTCGTGTGCATACCGGTGTTTCGAGAGGAACACCTCTATATTAAAGATACCTATAATAGAATATAAACAAATTGAGTATAGTTGAGAAATTGTATGTTACCTAAAATCCGCTCGACGCATGAAGTAAAGTTGGTCAAGTTGTTTATCAAATGGAGTCGTGCTTGTGGCCTTCTTTGGCAGCCAGTCCTCTCCGAGTTTTATAAGCTTAGTGGTGATGAAGTCTTTGAATGGAAATTGCTCAAGATCATCCTCTATAAAAGGTGCTAGACAAATCTCCCCTTCATATACAGTTTGTGAAATGTAGACGGTCCTCCTCATCACAGTCTCTATTATACTGTCTAATCCTTTTTCTCCTTCCCTGAGTCTATTTACAACATCTCAAAGTCAAAGCTTACATATGAGGAATAGATACACATTCTCAGCGACCTTAATAACACTCATCTGGAGTCTTGCCCACTAAGAAATAACTTTTGTGAGTAACCTTCATGTAAACACAAACAATACTTACTTTCATGACAAAAAATCTTTATTATAATATCAAACCACTCCTTTGGGCGTCGAGGGTCAGCCACACTAAGTAATTTCTTTACCTTTGTCTTCTTTGTGTTATTGATTTTCTTGTCAATTGTAGCTAATGCTCAAATAGTTCTTGATCATTTTCAGCTCGATGCGACTGTGCATATGCATCTTGCTTAACCTTCACCAATGGCTGAAGATAACACAAACATTCTATGATAAGAAATATACTTGGAAGAACATACCTTACTCCACATAGCTGTTATAAAAGCCATTGGATTCTTGTACCATCTATTGGCACCTTGACGACCTCGATGATGCCGAATAAGTGATTCTAAATCATCACCATAATGGCTGCAGACTGCATCCTTGTTGAGATTGGCAAGAAACCGGATTTGCTCAATATCATGTACTAGGCTTCGTTTCTGCACTGCAAACTATCCTAACTTGCAAAACACAAATTGTTAAAAGTGATTGAAGAGGGAGTGGTACCTATGCATTAATTTTGTGGCAAGCTATCACAAGCCTTGCCACATCTAGAGATCCTCTCGTATGTACATGTCCAACCGAAACATTGATGTGATAGACAGGATTGTCTCGGAAGCATTCATTGATGCACTTTATCTACGCACACTAGCGATGATTCCCGTCGATAATGTAGAACATTTTCCCCACAAATTGTTGAGTCTCAAGATGGCTCATAAGCATGTTGTCAAATTTGCGGGACTTCATTTTCCAAATGTCATCCCAAACCCTCTCGATTTCTGGTGACACCGAGAGGGTATTTGTCGTTCTTGGCTTGAAGACCGAAACAAGGAACATACCTATGTTTGTCCCAAGGCCATTATGTTTGTACAGACTATAGATGTTCATGTTGATGAAGTGTGGTGAAGCAGACCGAATGATGCTTGTCTGAGTGAATCGACATAGTGGGATTTCTCGGATTATGTCTCCCGGGCCTTCCCACTTGAGAAACTCTAGAGTCGTGTGAATGGCCTTTTCTTTGGTTCTCAAAACTGTCTCTTGGAAGCGCTTGTCTACAATGTGTTTAAGTAACTCCACTTCTCTTTCAGCTTCAGCTACACCTCCAGTAGCACCATTATCAGATCTAGCCCTCAACTTGAGCCTAACACCCCCGTCAGGCGCACTTAGGCACTACTTTGTAATGTAGTTAGTTTCTGCCATATTTTGTGAATATGTTAAGAGTAGTGGCATTTGTGGTTGTGGCTGCAATGGTAGTGACGACAATCGCGCTGCTGGTGGTGATGATGGTGGCGGTAGTGGTGGTAATAATGGCGATGATGGCATTGGTGGTAATGGTGGTGATGACGGTGGTGGTAATGGTGGTGATGAAGGTAGAGGTGGCAATGGTGGTGGCAGTGGTAATGGTGGTGGTGGCATCGATGGTGGTGGTGGCAAAAATGGGGGTGCATGTGGACTAGAGCTATCTGGTTGTGAAGACGGCAGAGTTGTCGCTGTGGAAATCTCTATCTGAAGGTCAACTTGATTGTCGTCCTGGATCTCATCTTCCTCATGTCTTCTATTTGATCCAACATCCTTCTCCTTTTGTAGTTGCTTTTGTTTCTGAAAATAATATAAATTAAAAATGCATAAGAAGCGAGGACTTTGGGGCGTGGACTTGGCGTAGGAGCCGGTTCGCTGGCGAACTAGCCCTCCTCCCAATGCCAAGTCCAAGTGCCCTGGCTGGGCATTTGACGCGGGCCGGTTCGCTGGCAAACCGGCCCTCCTCCCAGCACCAAGTCCAACTGCCTAGGCCGGGCACTTGACGCGGGCCGGCCAAGGTGCTTGGGGGAGGGCCGGTTCGCCAGCGAACTGGCCCGCCTTCAAGCACCTTGGCCGGCCCCGTGCAGAGTGCCTAGCCTGGGCACTTGGCACAGGCACTTGGCACGGGTGCCGGTTCGCTGGTGTACCGATGGCCTGCCCGGGTGGAGTGCCGGGCCAAATGCCCGGCCTGGGCACTTGGCAGCGGTGGTGCTGGGCAGCGGTGGCCCTGGGCAGTGGCGGCGCTGGGCATGGCATGGCGTGGGCGCGGCAGCACTGGGCATGGTGGTGATGGGCAGCGGCGGCCCTAGGCAGTGACGGCACTGGACGTGGTGTGGGAGTGGAGGAGTAAAAAACTTACTCTTGGCGGCATTCTGTTCATCGCTGATGGATCCCACAGTCACTCCCAATCTCCCACTCTCATTACATTCTGCAAATATTTTCTAGCAATGTACAATTTCTATTCTATCCTAGATTTGATCACGTGACAAAGTCCTTTTGAGTTGTAATTTAATAATGGAGGTGTGCTTTAATATGACTATGCTATAATGTGAAATAATGTCACAAACGCATGTGTTGAATTGATGATAGTACGATATTATAAATGAGAATTATGTGTTTCTTGCAAGTAATAGTATCTTGTCAGAAAATATAAGATTATTAAATTGTAAGGTGTTACTTCCAAAGCAATGTATATAGATAATTTACTATAGGTGATAGATGGTATTACAAAGATGGAATATATTTAAATGAGTTCAGAAGAATATGACGATTTCTGGCTTTAATGAAGTACTAAAAATATGTACAATATTTAATTTGTTTGGCAACAGTTAGTTGATGGTAGATCCTAGAATAAAATCATTCATATCTTTCATATTATGGCATATGCTTGAGGTGATATTTCTTTCCGTTCTACCAAAAGTTAGTCCATATAATAAATTTGAGCATGTTTTTGAATTCAATGTATACAGACTTTTAATATTGTACAACATAGTCCTATATACTTCATATAGAATTTATTATAACAACATTATTCAATGTTAGATCCTAGAATAAAATCACCCTTTCTTTTCACATAATGGCATAGCACATGTTTGAGGTGACATTTCTTTATAAAAGTTTAAAGTTCCAAAACTTAAAGGCAACAAAATGGAGAGTTTCCTTTTGCATTATCAAGATCACCCACCACTTTTTTTCTCTCAAAGTCTTATTTCAGAAAGTTTTCTTTGCCGACGTTTTGATCTTTCTCTCAGTTCTATTTCATTGGAGGCTGTGATTCGCAACAACATTGGTGTAGTTGAACAATCGGAGTTTCTTCTTTTAGGTGTAGGTGAAGGTGGACAACATTGGGATTTGCAACATTCCAAGTCAAAGGAGATTCGAGTTTTTGGATCTCCAATCAAAGTGCAAGGCTGCAATCCTGCTAAAGTGAATGTGAAGCAAGATTCGGTCGTCATCATTTCTTCCTATTCTAGTTCTAATGGAGATTTTAGTCTAGTGCAAGCTAAGAATTTCCAAACTCGAACTTCACTGATATTCAAAGTTGTTTGCAATGCTTTCCAGTTTTCGCACCTCTCTATCGTGTGTTCCTTTCTGGATAGGCCCGTTAGCGAGCTCCCATCTACATACAATGGCAATATCTTCTTTGAACTACCACCTTTTGTCAGCTCAAAACAAAAGGGGATGGAGACGAAGCAGGACTTTCA